AAAAAGAAATCTATCTTATCGGTAAATTTTCATTCCAAGAATTTTTAAAAATTATCGAAGCCTAGAATTATTGTGCGTGCATTTTAAAGATGATTAAACTCTCGTCAGATAGAGTCGTCAATAATTGACGATTTGAAAGAAAAAAAAAAGAAGGAAGCGTTCAATCGTCGTTCTCGTGCATATTCTCTCCGCACGTGTTTCTCTTCTTTCTCGACGCGTCTTTTATCTTTCTTTCTTTCTTTCCTTCTTTACCGTGTCATGGTAAGTTCCGTTTTTTTTTTTTTTAACTCGCAATTAACCGCACGCAAACAGTGCCAGGTGTATTTCTCTAATTTTTTTCCCCTTTAATCTCCAGCCTTGTTGCCTGTCTTTACTCATCGTGCTCATACAAACTCGACGGCCTTCGACGTGGCAAAACGCTTATGAATAATCGCGCCGGTATTATATATCCTAATGCATTTTTACGCGTTGACTATTTTTCATTTTAACCTTCCTTTTCTCTCCGTTCTTCTTTGTGCCTCCGCTCACCTTCCTTCCTCTTATTTATTCTTTTCTTTTTTTATTTTCCACGCAATCTTTCGCACCATTGTTGTCTCATCTTTATTAATCTTTTTTAAACGTCTGGAAACATTATCGTTTTTTTTTTTCCTCCTTTTTTTTATATATAATTTAATAAAAAATTTTACATAAATATATATTTATCAACCGATCTATGAATCACTCCACTATTTTAAAACAGCGATGATATACTGATTTGTTCGATAAATTTATCATTGATGCGTTTTTCTTTTTTTTTTATAATCAAATTAACGTACGATTTGATCTTTTGATTTGATCGTACAATTATTAATTAAAAGGGAAAAAAACGTATACACGTATAATTATGTGTAATAGTTCATTTTCTTAATTATCTCTCCGATCGAGCATGCGCGATTAATTATCAACTCGAAGGTACGATTGTTGGAATTCTGTGGAAATCGTGTAGATCGTCGTAGATAATCGTTCGTGCCAGAGAGAGAGAATGTCATTTGGAGGATCATTAAGGATTTCGCAAGGAGCATGGCACATAGCTCGACGATAAAAGTGATTCGAAAAGAAAAATGATTACCAACCCGTCCACTTTCTATTCTTCTAAATGTCGCCGAGTTGTCTTTGCCAATCAACATTTTTCAAAAGCGTTAACGAAGTTTTAAAATAATAAGGAAATTAATACCGAAATTGAAAACCTTCAAAATTTCCTATAATTAAATTCCACTTTACGATCATCTACCACGAAATTCGAAATCGGGATTTTTGGGATATTTTTCAAGAATATTTTGATCGAAAAATTTTTATTACAATCGAGTTGAAAAACCAAAAAAAAAAAAAAAAAAAACTCGAATATTTTCAAAATTTCCACAGTATCCAAGTAAACTAATTTCCAAAGCGTTCGATTAAAAATCACTTGTCTATCAAAAACAATTTTTTTACAAACTTTACAAACTCGACAAAGTATATTCACGAATGAGAAAGACAAAAAAAAAAAAACCTTGTAAAACGAAGCTCGTAACAAAATCTCTCGGTTCATCACGCGCGGTTTCGCGGTTCGAAAACCTTCCCCCTCTCTTTTGTCTCTCGGCCGGTTTAATTTGCTGCCCGTTCCACGTGGATCAAAGCCAGAGGGAAACATTAAACGACGCTTAATTACCAGCGCGGGAGTTCGGTTAATTACCGCAAAAAACATTTTCGCGGCCGCGAAATGATCATTTAATTACGCGCGGGGGAGGGGAACAATGGATCCCGTGGATCCAGTTTTATTTTTCTTCTCGATCCCTCGCCATTAGATTTTCGCCATTTTCGATCCCATCCCCGCTGCCGAACAGCTTACGAATTCAACACGTGCTCCTCCCCTCCCCCCCCCCCCCCCCC